TTTTTTTTTTTTTTTTTTTTTTTTTTTTTTTTAACTGCATTTGGAATTCTTGTGTCTAATTGAGTAGAAGCAGAGGAGCCAAATTAAATAACAAAAAGGTTCACAAGAAACAGATACTACCCAACAAAAGCAAATCCTAATTGACACCATAACATATTCTTGTTGCATTGAGCTTCTTTAAGACACTAGACATGAGAATCCGGATCACCACTGTGGTAATTCACACCATCCAAGCACACTGAACTGGAGATGGGGCAGCAGCCAGTTTCCAAGGAAGCTTCACGTTTAGTATAGAACTGCAACACTCATCAGCTTTCATACGGCTTCGGAGGGCAGGGGCAAAGCATGAGAGAACGAGAAACATTTGTCAGAAGGCACCTCTCATCATCTAGTCCCAGCCTCCTACTGAAAACAGGGGTAATTTCCTACGTAGACTGTATTCTTATGACATTCTTCTGCCAAAGCAGAACAGTTGTATCAATGTTAACATCTGTCCCCAAACTCCTTAGAATTTTACTTCTTGCTTTTTGAGATGGGACAGATCAATTCTTATTTCTGCATCGTTAATACTGGCCTGTCTTTTCTGGAAGCAAAATACATTGCAAGCCAGTTTCTGCTAGAACTCATCTTAATGGATCTATTTTTTCAACCTACCTTGCTACTATGCTTCCTCATTTCCCACTACATTTATAGAGCTGTATCAGCTTCAGATACAAAACTGTTGTGTGTGTCAACAAACACAACGCTCTCCTCAATAGAAAATGCAGTATTTTTAAGTATCGCAAGTTAACACTATCCTGGGTACACCAAAAACTCCCAAAGGCACAAGTTCTGACCTCATCCTAGCCCAGGGAATTTAAAGCTGTGTTATTGTCACTGAGAAAGAGAAGGAAATGAATGAGATACATCACTTGATCTTGTGCATACCGTACTACAACCGCAGGCAACATACTTAAGAATAATTTGATTTGGGGAAGAAACGATTGCCACTGCTTATAGCTATTTTAAAAGAAAAAAATAGTTACGTGTCATCTTACAAACTTACCCTTCAAAGAAAACTATTTTAAGCAGCTTATGCCTTGTTATCACGAGATGGTAGATCAACATTTTTATTCCTGTTACCCAGCCATTCAACTATCACCTTGCCCCCTAAATCTCTTAAAACACGCTCTGATGCACTTGCATTACATCATCCCTCTCAGCCCATCTCCTGCCAACATCTGGTTTATTACAGCATAATAAAAAGGTAAATGGAAATAATTATTTTTCTGGTCAGCAGCATTTTTCATAAGCAGCCATCCCTCACAGGCAGGGGTGCCCAACTCATTGAGGACATACACTTTCTGTTACTACTTAGCTCACTTCAAACCCCATACATGCTGGACGTGACTCTCCTGATAAACTGAGTTCCCAGTCCAGGATTCTATCACAGAAGAGCTAACTGGCATTTTCTGCAGCAGGCTTTATAAGAATGGGAAAAAAAACCCCTCTTCCTGTAGTAGGCACTGCTTCTGCACTGTTGTAATAAAAGATTTTTTGTGCTCCTGCATTCCTGATGTCAAATCTCTTCATTAGCGATACAGGCATCATTATGTGCAAGTAGAGCAGAAGTTCAACCCACAGAGACAAGTGTCATTTGCCTAACACTGTTTTGTCTGTGTTACTTCAAGAAGAAAAAAAAAGAAAAAACAAACCACAACAAAACATGACAGACAGTATTACCTGTATGCGTTCTTAGGTGTTTCTTTAACTGAGCTGCATCCATGAATTTGCGACGACACTGGTTACATTCCGGCAGTGAATGGCCTTGTCGCAATAATAAAAAAAGTGTCAGTGCATAAGTGATCCCCTGTATCTCTCTTCAGTGATCTTTGTTAAAGCACTTTCCTGTAAAATAACCACTTTGATATAATATAGAGAGAAAACAAAAGGTGATTCACTGCCTCCTCCCTATCTTAGTTGTCTCACCCCTATTTCTCTATTTGGTATTATCATGGGAAAAGAGGGGACTGACACCTGCTTCCCCCCAAACACGCTTTCTCTCAAAGCTTTGTAAATTCTGATTTTTTCCACCACTTCCCATGTGTGTAGCTTAATCTCCATCCTGCTCCAGAAGTGAGGAGGACACTTCTTAAAGCTTGTATGCCATTGATAGTCCAAAGTAGTGCAAATCGCCTTGTAGTTTCCCACAACAGGCGGCAGACACAATTGTTTATACAATTCCTAGCTTCTATGTAACACAGCAGGGCTAAAATAATCAAGTTGTATGTCAAATACAGCATAACTAACTTTTAATCATCATAAGAGCCCTTCTCAATTAATTACTTTTCTAAGCGTTCCATTTATTACACACCATTTTGTCTTTTTCACCCTGTTCATCGTTGTATCAAGACACCACACATCAGGGTAGCAGAGACTAAATACATCACTGAAGAAGAATTTTCAGCCTTAGTCAATCTTTATACGGACAAATCAGCACGGACTGTAAGCCAGCTCTTCCACCCAACCTTGTTATACCTGTGTGTACTCGATAGTGGCTCTTGAGCTGTCTCTTTTGGCTGAAGTATTTCCCACACTGATCGCATGTAAAACCTTCTGCCCCTGTAAAAAAAAAAAAAACCAAAAAAACCCCCACCACTTATTAAAATGTAAGCCACATCCAAAGCAAGCGCAAGGAAATAAATAAATAAACAAACCAGCACACACAAGAGCGAGCAGAAATACCTTTTTTCAGAAAGGCAAACTCTTGGGGAAGAGAGGTTACATTCGCCTTGAAATATTTACCTGTATGTAGGCTCATATGCTCCAGAAGAGAATGCTTTGTCGTCAGAGCCTTACTGCAGACGGTGCACGTGTATGGCCGTTCTCCAGTGTGCATCCGCTCATGGACTTGAAGAGAATGCTTCTGGGAAAAGCCTTTGCCACACTCACTGCACTTAAAAGGGCGCTCCCCTGAAAGCAAAAGATGACATTTGTAAGTATAGATGCATTATTTCTCACTAGATATTCTAAGCTGATAGTGAGATGCATTGCAATGTAGCAGCTACTAAAAAATGACTTTTAAGTAGCGATAAGGCGAATTAAGACACAAGCTTCCCACAGCAATAAAGTAGTTCTTTAAGTATTGCCATATAATTCAATGTTTACACAGAGAAATGATTAACTAAACTACAATCAAGGTAAGACATAAAGGCTACGAGATCTGCTGACAAGAATAAAACAGCGAACACAGTCTCAGAGATCAGCATGTTGTTTTGGACAGTTCTTGCTGCAGACAACAGCCCACACTTCAACAACTAGCTCGCATTTGGCAACAAGTCACTAAACCCTAACCCAAACACAGCAGTCTGTTAATGCCTACCTGTATGACTCCGCTGATGAATAGCTAGGAAGTGATTATATTTAAATACTTTGCCACAGTCTTTACAGCGAGCTTCAGAACCTGCACGTTTTCTTTTTCCATCAGTTCTCTTTGCCAGTCCTTTTTCATCCTCATCACCGAGAAGTTTATAATCTTTCAGTTTGATTGATCTCCTTATTCTGCGTTTGCTGTAACGGCTCTGAGTGCTCTGTATTCCTTCAGATTTGGGATCATAATTCTCATCTTTTTCAGCTGACAGATCGACAGCAGCTTCTGAGCCACAAGCAGGTTCAGTTTCTTCTGCATCTTTCCTTGCTGGAGCCTGTTCGCTGACAACTGTTTCTTCTTCTGCGGCGTCTTTTTTCATAAAATTTTGCTTATTTTGCATGGAGTTGTTCTCTCTCAGCTGCACATCTTCGGCAGAATTTGCAGCCGATTTTTCTTCTTGGGCATTCTTGACTTTCCTCGGTCGCCCTCGTTTTCGCTTTGGTGGCTCTTCATTTTTCTTGTCGCTTGCAGCAACGGCTACAGAGGCTCCACTGTTAGCCGGAGCTGGTAACGCATTACTCGGGCTACGGCTGGCCTGATAGTCTGTACAGGCCCATACCAAGTCATTCACTTTCAGCAGCTGCGCGGTAGCCAGAATTTGTTCGGTGCTTTTTTCACTGGCGCGGAGGCAACCGGTGTAGATAAATTCTAGCAGTGCTCCAAACGTGTCCGCAACCATTCCCTCCAACATGTAAATTGACTGCCCTATTTCACCCTCATCTACAAACATCATTGAGAAGTATTCACTGCTGGCAGCAAGCAAAGCTTTATGGGCTCTGAACTGCACATTCTCCACTATTAGGGTAATGTCACAAAGAAAATCCTTTTTCCTTTGTTCTTCAAAATTAGCTAGAATGGTATCTTTGTGAGCTTTGGAGTGGATGACAACCAGTTTCTCAGAAGCGTCAGGAGGCGTTTCTGCCATTTTTATTGCGCATATGAAAGGAGGTGCCTACAAGAACAGAATAGCTTTAATTAAGGAATATTGTAGAAGTCTGCACTATAACACACCAAATATCATTTGGTTTACCAGTCAACAGAGTTCAACAGTTTCTGAAGCAATTCTGAAGGCTCTGATCTTTCTTTAAAAAAAATCAACACTAATGCTGACACAGACTTTCTTCAAAGGGTGTTTTTAAATTCTAAGACATGGCTACAGATAGCTGCTTCTTAGATCAGAATTACTGCCTATTATTTCATTTGTTTCTCTCTGATGTGCTGTGAACTGCGTAGCATCTAAAAAAATGGCTATCCCTTCTGAAAACTCCTTTCACAACTAAAACAACCGAACAAAGAACTCTTTTTGTTCACAGCTCGGGCAAAGGGTCAACTGCAGCTTCATCCCTGCAGATGCCACATTTCAGACTATTCAGTGACAAGGCTATGGAATCCTGTAATCAATGATAAAACTTGACTGGCATCAGCGCGGCAGGACTCCGTGCCTTCTTTTATCCATTTCTATCCTTCTGAAAATTTCTTTCAGAACACTTACCTGCTAAGCTTCAGCCTACGGAGGTGGGCAATAAAAGCGGAAAAACAGCAGCTTTTTCTAAGAGCTCTGTCTAAAATAGGGTTGACTGTGCTATTAACCACCAACCTGGCTTGCTAAGCTTCTTCAATTGTAAATATGCAAAAATTAAAATTAAAAAAAAATATATATAATCCAAAGTTAAAATTAAAAAAGAAGATATATAATCCAGCGATTTCAGAAGAATCCACTGAATACTACAGAAGAGATGTGCCAAAAATGTCCATTTCAAGAGGATCAGCTGAGCCAAACGTGAAACAGATTAGCTACCTGCCATCTTAAAATATAAAGCTGTCATCTTAAATACAAACACATATTTAAACATAGCAATCAGTGAGCACAACAGTTCCGATTACTGAAGGAATGCTGTAAGAAATAACACAGACTACATACAGACGATACCTAAATGCTACCGAGGTGGCCAACAAGCGATTCTTTAGCCCCATTCAGCTACCGAACAGTTCACGCCGGAGCCAGATCGTGTATCTGGGGACCTTAATTTCTGAAGGACGTGAGCCTGATGCCGCTGGCACACCCTAAAGCGTGGCTGTAGGTCTGACCCAACCCTGCCTTACAGGAACTCCCGAAGAGCTGCTGCCAACTGCGCATGCAGGCATTCCCTAACACCCACGTGCGCCTCAGGTAGGGCAGGAGGTGTTTCGATCACACGAAGGACTTTGGTATTCGATCACGAGGCGACAGCGTTACTACTTTGACTGCAAAATCCCAAACAGCGTGCTCACCTAAAAAAAAATAAATAACAGTAACAGTAATAACTCTGGAGCAAGGCTGTATATGAGGGGAGAGCAGCCATGCTGCCGGCAGCGTGGTCAGACGCGCTCCAGCCCATCTGCCGGCGAACTCTGGAAGGGCTCATGAGCAACACGCGCGTTTCGGGGGGGAGGGGGGAGGCTGACGCCGAGTGACAGAGCACG